ATACGTACGTCTTTAGATGCATGGACACACATTTTGCTGAAAACTTGCAGTGGGATGCAGGGCCATCCTCCCCAGGAGGCGTGGACCTGTACAGGCTTGGCCCAATGATATGTGACCCTGTCCTTCTGCTGAGGGAAGCAGCAGACTGTGAAACAAGATTTTCAAAAACTTGGCCATGGCCCACAAAGCAGAGTTACTTTGAGGTCATCGGGGGCAGGAGAGAAACTTTTTTTGAAAAATGTATTAGCTTCAATCACGATTTCGCCCCAGCTGACAATGCCGTTGTCGCGTCCTTATTAATGCAGTGAAATACAACATCCATTTCCGCCCACCCTAAAATGTCTGACACAGATTGAGAGGAATAATAAAATTCATTTCAGAGACTTGGTCATCCTCCGCCCCTCCGACGTGATTCTATGTGTAACATTGTCTAGTCACGTGAAGGTGGTGCATTTCCTATAAATAGCCGGGCTCTTTGATTTGTGTACAGTATGCTGCTCGCACATTGATTTGACATTTTACATGTTCACTCAGCACACCATGAGTGAAACTCCCTTTGATAGCTATCACAATTGAAGCTTCAATGTGTGGTACCGGCAGCCAACCAGAAAAGACAAAAAAAAAAAAAAAAAAAAATCCTGTTCATTTTTTCAAGTTTTTCAGTTATTCCACAAAAGCAGTTTTGTAAACGTCAAATGAAGTTTCAGTTAGTTAATCATTTTTAACAACACTATATTACGTAAAAATCTGTAAAACTACATTCCCTAAAAAGTACTACTATAAACCACAAATTGCTGAGACAGACAATGCACCCAAAAAACAAAAACAAAAACAAAACAAAAAAAAAATTAGCAATACAGTTGGAGACAGACACAATTGGTGAATGGATGAAAAGAGATTACATTTTGACACCTTCAGCCCCCCTACTGGGCCAATCATCTCACTCACCATTATTCACTCAGCCAAATCTTTGCCGATGTCACATCTGTTGGGAAGGACATGGTGGCCCATCCACCAGCCATTCAAATAAACAATCTGTCCCACTTAGAGTAACACTGCCTTCACCAGTAAATGGTTTCAAAATTAGTCTTCATGCATTTCTGAGCCCACTGCAAGCAATTTTTGAGATTATTGCGGGTTATTGAAATCCAGCTTTATGCATGACTGCAAAATGGCTTGGTCGCCCAGGGAAAAAAAACCCTAGCAGAAAAATGGTAATAACAAGGAGAATGGAGCTGTGATATTCCCGGCAGACATAATCTCCTAAAACCATTACAGGGGAACAACATAGGATAGGTGCAGTAGCTACAGGGGGAGGATTACGGGCCGGCGGGCACGTGCATGCACGCAAGCACAAACTACAGCTAGGGTCATACAGTATGTTTGTGTGTAAACACAAAGTGCTTACAGAGATACTGGAACAACCATTGCAAAGCCAGATTTTACACGCTGGATGGAATATCTTGTGTGGGTTCGAGAACGAGAGAGGCAGCGAGAGAGAGAGAGAGGGGGGGGGGGATACAGCACATCTGTCTGGTGCTGCTGCACTCTGAATCTATTTGTGGAAACTCATTATATTTTCAGATACCATACATGCACCCTATTGAGACGGGAGTAAATAAACACTTGGCTTGCATCGAAATCTTAAAATAGAGTGGATTACTTGCATTGTGCTCATCTTGCCAAATAATTTTGTGAAAAATACAAATATAATCGATCCAATCATTTTCTGCACCGTCTATCCTCATTCGTTATTTATGTAATACATTTATATTCATTCATGTATTTTCATATTAATATGATCTTCGCCCTGTTATGACAGCCATGTCCTCTCAATCTTGTGTTGACTGGTGAAACTGGTGCTGAGGGTCTAATTTTTTCTTCACTTTCCAGGAAGTGCTCCTGCAGACAAAAACTTGCGAAGATGGGTACAATTTCGGGCATGTTGAGAAACCCAAACAGACCATTTATGCTTGGGACCTAAAAATAGCACATCACGATGAATTTATAGAAGGTGTTTTAGCAGGTAAAGTTAGTGGTAACTTTATGATGTAAATTGTTCTTTTTGTTTCCCCTCACTGCACTGTCATCCACGAACAACACTTTTGTTGGAACTCCACGGTGAATAATCAAATAATAATTGCCTCAAGTAATACGCCACGCTTCGAGTCAGCCAAAGATTTCAATATGAGTAACACGGACGGGTAAGCAATGGAAAGTGACTGCCTCGAAGTTAAAAAATGAATACCTGCTCAAAAAACTATCGACTTGTTGGCGGCTTCGTAAAGGTCAATGAACTCCAGGTGCGGTGCAGTGTATCGACTCTCATTATAAAAAAAACTAGCAGACTCCAGGACAGTAACAACAGTCAACAATGCACAAGGGTTACTAACGAACATAAGGAATCCAAAACTGACACAGCCTGCGATTCAAAAGGCCTCACTAATGTAAAATGAAACACCATGTAATCAATGTTATTTGTTGTCCGTCTAAACTTGCTCCCTGCAAGCTGCTGCACCCCCAAAACGTTTGCGGTGGGTTTGCTGACATGATATGGACATCACCATGGTCCCTCACCTTTTGTTGCTTTTCCGTAATATGGGCTCGCATCAGATATTTGTGTGAAACACTCACCTACGGACAGTCACTGCTAATTGGAAGCAGCACGACAAAAGCCCATGTGTTTCACAGCATTTGGACCTAACTCTAAACTATGTGGAACTGCTCGTCAAACCACCATCCACTCCTGATTTACAAAAAGCAATCCCACAACCCATGAAGTTAATGGCTAGAATTAATCTCCATAGAGTATGAAAAAAAACAAAAAGGCAAACCACAGGATTAGCTAAATGTGGCTCAAGATTTAGCCACACAGATGCACACGATGTTGTGGCTAACTGGACTCAAGTGTGGCTCCAAGATATTGATGCTGTTTAGCCATGTTGGATGAGTGGTTTCATGGCCCAGTGCCAATCCAGCCAGTTGTTTTCTTCATCTGTCAGTTTGGTATCAACACTAGAGCCTTCCTATTGTTTGGTGCCACCTAAAGTTCTGACAATTAAATTGTCAATAAGAACACAACCGCCCTGAAAGCATCTCTGATATTCGCCGGCAGCTGGACTTGACACACAGGTTCCCCACTAATCACTCACTTATGTTTTTGACTCATTTCCCAAATTAAACGGAATACAAAAGGGAACATGGCAGAAACCGAAGACGGAAACAAACAAAAGCTACAAGTAAATTTTATGAATACAGAGATTCCTTCTTCTGGGCTGTGGTACTTTCTAAAACAAACTAAGTGATGCAAAAACACAATCTGTGCCAAAGCACATTAAATATAAACCACAAACCTTTGCTGGAAGGCTCGCAGCCAGCGACAAAAAAAAAGAGCAAAGACTTATCGACTTCCATTAATTCCTAAAACAGATTAGAAATGAATTAAAACGTGCGCAGGTTAAACTGTGACCGCCCTCGGTCTAAAAACCATGCGCCGCAAAACGATACCCGCGGTGCATATGGCACCGCTAAATCCTCCGTGATTACCTAAAACATGGGGATTAGTTTCCAGAGTGTTGAAAAACCCCCACTAAGTATGAGTGACAGCGTCGCAGTTTGCTGGCTGAGAGACAGGACAGCAGAACCAACGCAAAGTGATTTCTCCATTCAATGGTGGAGAAAATGGCAAATTTACTTCACGCTTTGTAAAACTCGAACATTACAAATAAATAAATAAATAAATCAATCTATTTTCCAGACATGTATTTGCCTGCTATTTTGCTGTTCAAAAATGGATACGCTCCGCTTTAATGCAGTTCCAGCCAGAATTCTGTGAAAAGTATAAAATACCAATCTCATGAAAACTGATATTGATTGATATCAGCAGCCAACAGACAAAACAATAACAAAGAAAAAGCACCACTCACATGTATGGTTAAATAATACATGTACATGTTCTGGGAGAAATGTATTATTTTAGACATGAATGTTCTGTTTTGGTTAAGCCTACTGGAGTAAGACTGAGTAATGCTTAAAAAGTTTTACAAACAATTATTCTGTTGAAAATATGCTAATATCTTCTTGATGAGTTTGTGATGAGTCAGTCCGCCAGTTTTGACGCATGTAGAATATTTGGACTCGGATGCAATCGTCTAAATTAGCTCGCATTCAATTGACAAGGCACCATAGCAATTAGCCCAAGGCTATTGTGTTTTTTTTTCTCCCTTCCCTGAACAGAGGAGCCGAGAAGCTTCTGTGGTTCAGTTGTACAATTGCAATGAGTCATCGCTTTTGTCATATTCGATTTTCATGCTGCGATATGCAACAAAATACAAAATAAATGGTTTTCTCATCTTGGTGCGCTTCCTTCTGCCTCCACATATCTTTTTTTCGAGCAGCACGGAGTTAAATAAGGTAGACAAAATATGAGTTTATTAGTCTCTGTATTTAACCAAATGTATTCGTTCCCACATGGAATATATTGGCTAAAGGGCAACAAGTGCAACCGCCTGGGAAGTGAGAAACACACCATATGGCAACTCTGGAAACAAACAGTTGAGCTCAGTCTCTGGCTAGGGCACCGCATGATTACGGTAGTGACATATTATTTCATTTAAAAAAAAAAAAAAAATTGATTAATTATAAACTGTGACTGTTGCACGTTGAAAAAAAAGGTCAAACTATTGATGTTCCAGTTTGTACTCTTTATACGTGTTGAGGTAAACAGAAAGCAAGACTGACAATTTATGAGCAGACTCCCGTAGTTCACCGAATGTTCAGCCCAACACACAAACCACAAAATATGCACGTTTTAAATCCGGCAGCGATTAAGCAGCAAAGCCTGCTTGTTTCCAACAAGGGTACAAGGTCAACCTGCCATTTGAATGCCATTTGAATGCCATTTTACACAAGCACCAATGTCACTAATATACATTTAACCAGCTCGCGAATCACTCAGAGTGAACTCATCTGATAACATTGACATCTTGTCTGAAACTTACCGGCGGTTAAGTCTTTGTTGAGGTCGATGAAGGCGTTAGCGTGAGGGATGCGCATGTTGACTGGCGAACTCAGTGCGCTCTGACACACCGGATCTCTAAAAAAAAAAAAAAAAAGAGGCCAGTGTTTACATTTTTTTAATTATACATCATTCAACATCCCTAGAAAATCACAACGTTCCATCACTATCACATGAACTACTTTTGGAACAGGCCCGTGGGCTGCTCATGTGGTCCTTGGGGTCCAGCTGGTGCCTGCGGGCCCCGCGTTGGTGACCTCAAGGATGTCTTCCTCTGACCGGTGCTCACTCGGGCAAACTGGATAATTTACCGCAGCAGTCCTGATGATCTCTCGCACCACGGTGGGGAGCAACTGATCTAGATTGGCGATGTCAACTCGCTCAGCTTTCCCACCGACGCTCTCTTGTGTGGGTCGAGCAAGGTGTCAAAGTAACGATTATTATGAGTCACCATGAAAAGGTGAAATGTTTTCTTCTGTATACACTTACTGAAAATGTTTAAAATGTGACTTAAGTGGTAATTTGCACATTTGAAAAAAAAAAGATTTTGTTTCTCCAACATTCCAGTCATTATTACCGGTCATTGGAATACCCTCATTAAGATGATGTAAACATATATCACCTATTGGTCAGAGAGCAAAATTCTGTGGTCGACGGGTCTGTGACTCCAAATATATCCGGTATCATGTCACCGTTGAAACTGCAACAAAATATCACTTTGTCAGCATAAAAAAACATGGTATTTGAGATTGAATAGGAATAATGTGAGCGGAAACACAATTTAATGTCATTCATACTTACTCCATCACCAGAGGTTGATCCCTGAAGGTTTTATTCAGTTTGAGCCAACCAGTCATGTCTGCAGAGGCAAACACACGTTTATCTTATTCCTCAGAAAAACGTAGGGGCCTCTTCCTCGACCCAAGACCTTTGCATACACATACCTAATGTCTGGTTGTCCCCCCAAAAGATGAAAACCGAGGACGCCATCAGATTGATCTGAGCCGTGAGGAGAACGTCCATCTGGGAATCTCCATCATAGTCACCAGGCACCACACTGGTGAGGATCGTGTCACTGTACATATATTAAAAGAAATTAGTATGGAAATGTGACTTTTTTTTAAACGACAAATAACATCTCTAGTGCCTATCCACCAATCCAATTAAACATTAACAACCACTTTTATGAACTTCCTCTTTCCAAAAGTTCCATTAGTGAGCCCGTCTACATTTTGGGGCGAAGTGCAATGTCACATTTTGGCTAATTAACACAATCCCACACTGAGTTTCTCCACCCACAACTTCACAGCTCGGCTGTCTGATGATTCCAAGCAACAGAGTCCAACTGCCAACTCGACAACAGCATGTCACATCAAACCCAAAGTTAGGAGAGCGGAAGCATTTTATCCACAGATAACTGTGCTCTTTTTGTAATGCCCCATGGCACCCAAATGCTTTGCTCCTTCTAAGGCTCCATGATAAGAGAGGAGTAGCCGGTTGTGGCCACGAGCTGATAGCTGGCTGGTTGGATGGGACTTAGCAGTGTGATGAAAGATTTCTGCGGAGATCTGACAGACAAGCGAGGCTCCTTGGAAAAGGCAGGATGGTTAACTTCACCGTGGCTGTGGTGGATGGTACCAGCTGATCAGTTGATAACCGGTCGCTGCTCCATGTGAGCCACGGTCAGTGCCCACCTAAAGATGAATGCATGCTAATATGCATTTTACAAATGGGAGTACCTATATATATCGCTGTGTCAAATGGTTCACAGGAAAGCAGGAACTAGTATTTTTAAAAATTGCGGAACGTGCAAGTGTCCTCTTATTTCCAGTTCATTTTTTCATAAATCAGATCATATCTTATGTTTAAAGTGTGAAGCTGTAAAACTAATTTGTGTTTTTGTATCATAGTCTGGGGGTATTTGGGCTTTAAACCCTGTCCATTCCCAGGTCTCAGGGTCCAGGACCTGGCGCGAATCACGAGAGTTCACTGTTATACAAATGGAATCTTTCCTGGTTACAATGAAAGTGAGACAACATAACGAGAGCGTCAATGAAAGCACACTCACCTTGGCAAGATTCCTTTTGATATGTGCACCTTGGGCTTGAAGTAAGGTGCTTTGGAGTCTGCTAAAAAGATTACCAGCTCGGACTCTACAGTAAAACAGAGTAAAAGATAAGTAAATGAAAATGCAAACGTATGAAACATAATATTTCTTGAGAGCGTGCCATTATGACAGCGAGTGAACCTACGTTCCCTGATGATGAAGATGTCTGTCTGCTTGTCGGCGTTAAAGTCTCCGAACGCCGCCACCGTACCGTTGTTTCCGGCGCCGAACAGGTCGGTCGTTACATCCTGGAGGGCAAGCGTGTGTTGCCAGGCTACAAATTGGAACAAAAAACCCAAAACATTCCAGTTTGAAGGGTACATCTTGCAAGTAACAGTGTGCCGTCTGACAACAACGGCGATCGTTATTCGTCACGCCGCTTTACGGCAGGAAGGAAATAGTAGCGTTTTTGCATTTAACAAGGCATGCCATGGAGAAAAGGGTGCGATATATTAGTTTGTGATTTTATTTCTTGTAGTAAATAACTGAAATATATGTATTAAGTCGCTGTAATGAGGTAAAACTGTGCTGTATTTTCACTTCCGTGTTTACGCTAGTGTCGTGCTTGGATTATTGACAGTTGACAGCAGCAGCAAAGAAACGGTATTAGTGTCAGCCAAACCGGATGTACTAGATTTAGTTTCAAAATATATATTAAAATCATTAATCGTAATTCAATTTTATTGGAAATCACAAGTAAAATCCATACCAAATAGTATAATTTACACTTAATAATTTTAATTAACGGTTATTTTGATTTAACAAGCTTATATTTCTGGGGACGGGGGTGAGAGCTACTTATTTTGAAAGTGCATACTAGAAGTTTTTTTATATACACTTTCAAACTTGAGTTCTTTTGCAACCATGGCGAGTTTGGCTGATGTCGGTTGGAAACTGCTGGAATTTAAAGCCCGGTCGAAAAGATCAGGTCAGATTTACCCTTTTAACCTCGTTTTTTAATTTCGAGTTTCCACTTTCTTTTCTGTGTCTGCGTGCCGGTGACTTGTATTAACTCGGGGGCGGTTGAGTTTAGAGTGGATACGCTGACTGGCCCCAAACGTCAAAAGGTCAGAGGTTTAAAATGTGCAGCATTTGGGGAGGGCTATTTTGAGACTCTGTCATTGCAGCCATAGCTAAATGTGCCTGGCTTCAAATACGTCTTCGGTGCATGTTGATGCATCTTGAGGAACAGGGAGATTTTGCAACAAAACCACCAACAGGCAGACACATACTACTCCAGGTGACTGTCACCCTGTTGTAGGAACAAACACCAGTTAGCACCAATTCCCCTTGAATTGAAATATGATGAGGGTAGTCGCCATGCACGTTGTTGCTTCTTGAGGAACAGGAAGATTTTGCAATGAAAGTCATAAATAGCAAAATGCTACAGACTTTGTCAAGCCACTGTTGCACCTGCTTTCTGTACAAGAGACAAGAACAATAAATAAACATATAAGTGATTTAATATACAGCAACAGTCTGCCAAACATGTTAATTTTTCACTCAATTTTCCCTAAATGTGCTAATATTCCATCTGCTGGGTTGAAATTGGGGTTGACAGAATATTAAGAACATGCAAGACAATCCAACAGCTCTTCAGAAAGCACATATTTCTTCACTCTTGTAATAATCGCCTCAAATGAGTCGGATTGTGATGCCATTGCAGAACTGTTACATTGTAAACCTTTGAATTAGAAGAACATTTAATGCAAATTGTTTGAAAATTACTTGATAGTGATGTGACATGTTTTTTCCCCCATCATCACTCCATGAGGATAGTTCGATAATTTGTTGCATGCATTCCTTATGATAACATCATAATCATGTAATTCAATGTTAATTCATGCATGTGTCCAAATCCTAATGTGTGCAACTAACTGCTTCCTGCTGTATAGATTTGTGATTTAGCTGAGCGAAAGACAGAGAGAGAGAAAGAGAGAGAGAGACGATTGACCTTAATTTCACCTTTTGAAAATGGCTGGGATAAAGCGGCCTCATCAGAAAGTCCAAAGACTGGGTAAGTAGCAGCAGGTTTAGAGGAATGATTCCAATCATATAATTCACGGGAGACATGGCATAGTTCAATCAAGGAACAGCAACTTTGTCATGTTGACTGAAGTACTGGGACACATTCCACCTCTGTAAGTGAAGGTAAAAGTGCAGTTCTTACAATATTATTCTACTATTAAAGGAGACATACTCTGGAATTTGAGGAGTTTATCTAGAAATCGTCAGGGCTTTGGAGCTCTTGTGTGCCCATCAGGTGTGGAAATTAATAACTAAGTTCGCGAAAGCTTTTGTCGCCTGACTACTTCCCACAAGGTGACTATGAGCGAGACATCTTGAATTTTGATGGTTGGTGATGCAATACTATGGCTAATTTGCATAATCTTGCCCCACATTAAGTATAACCCATGATTTGCCAGCCCGGCTGGTGGACATTTGCCATTTTCAAGACACAGCTGAACCGACACTCTCTGACAAACTATCATTGTTAGAGCCAAAAGGTAAGCAGAGCTGCACTGAGTTTTCAGTGTAATGCATGAAGTGTTGCCTCCATGACAGACAATTATTTTTATTGTCTTTACGGAATTTTCCTTTTTCTCCCTCCACACTGTGCACTCCACTTTGTGAGTAGGAACCACAAACATCGCTCCTGCTCTTTATCTCGTCATGGTTATAAAAGTCAGTCTTGCCTTCCAAATGTGAAGTTAACATCATGTCTCCTTTAAGAATTTACCCCAGATTGATTGATTGATTGAAATAAATGGACCAGGAGGTGTGTCCTGATACTTTTGTCCATACGGTGTTGGTACGATAATTAATGACAATGTGTTTGATGTGATGATGTGATCGAACGTTTGAGACCGTTAGAACCATTCCGCGGTGAACACCAAGGCGGTCAAGTGCAGTGAAAACGCTTTTGCAGTTGTTGTCCTTTTTCTACTACAACACAGACTGCCCTCTGTAAAGTTGACATTTAAACAAATAAATGAAAAAATCTGCTGTCATTTCTACATTGATCAGAAATAAGTAGGGAGAGGAAATTAATTAGATAATTGAAAGAGGTCCTTTTCTTTTTATTAAAGTGCAGCATCAGTTCTACTTTTTTTTAATGAAAAACAAATGATGAAAAAAAAGCATTGCTACGCTGTGTTTTCAGAGGCTGTCACCGTTCCCCCATAATTTCTTTACTTAAAATCCGAATCCAAAAATACACGTTGTTTCACCACTAATAAATGCAATAGTACCAAACTGAACTTGTCTTTAAAACGCATAAAAGTGACTGTCATAGAATGGTGAATTTCGTCACGGGATTGTAGGAGAGCAGGTCATCATGAATGATTTCATGTTGGAAAGTAAAATTTGAGTGTTGAGCTTCAAATCTACACTTTCTTTATCCTTCCCCCTTTGTCCTCATCGCCCGAAACTTTTAATATGATGGCAATTATGCTAATTTCAGCGGGAATGTGAAATGTTCACTACCTTGTGGTGTTGACACGAGGTCAGTTCTATTAAAATGCAAATCACCGGCACAGCCAGACGAGTCTGAAGATGCAGGGGTAAAAAGTCAGACTTGAGGGGATTCCCTCAGTCTTCTACCGCTCGTGGGCCACATAAAGTACTGAACCTTAGAATGTCTTACCTTACTTTTTTTCCCATTGGTAGTCAGTGGAAGTGAAAAATTGTGATTGAAAGAAATAAATAAATAATGCACTGTGGAAGACAGAATTCAATTTTCCCACAGGAAATAATGGAAAGAGCGAAAACAAATGAGAGAGTCTGGCCCATCGTAAAAGCTTTTATAACTGTGCTGGCAATCACAAAAGTAATATTCTCTTAACTGTCACGCAAGTGTAAAAATAACTAGAGTCAAGCGCTCATTCCTAACTTTGTAGTCATGTCGACAGACTCGCATCGACACGCAGCTGAGCTCTGGTACCAACCATTTGGAGAGAGGTTGGACTCTCTTCCATTCCGGAGAGAGGCGCAGTGCAGGCGCAGGCAAACTGATTGGCTCCCAACTTGTTGCTTGTATGTTGGGATTCACATCAGTGGATGAGGTCCGTTTGTACAAATTGCATTTAATAATATTAGAATATTAGCTAGCTAGATATATATTGTAGCTAGATAGATAGATAGCTAAATAGGTAGCTATAGAATCTATAATACTGCCCGTGTTTGCATTTTTAAATCATAATTTCGACGAGCAAATAACAATCCTAGCACTGGCGGACTATTGGTGTGGTCCTCACGGGCTACCTGGTGCCCGCGGGCACCACGTTGGAGACCCCTGATCTGTAGATCCTTCTCCCATGATGCAACCCTTTTATGTGGAAATGGTTGGATTAGTTTCTTGGGGGATTTGTGTTACTTTTGGGGGTTTTGGGTGACTTTTTCTATGAATAATGGTGCATCTCAATGTTATCTTTGATTTTGTGACTTTTGTGGCATTGTGGGAGACTTTAATAATACATTAGTTTTACTAATGTCACATCTAAACTGTTTTTTTGTTTTGTGTCACTTTTTTTGTATAGTAATGACTCATGTAAAGTATGATAATTTTGTGTGACTTAAGAGGTTCCAAAATTTCAAAATTAGGCAGCTTTTTAAGTTCCGTTCCAAGTCCAAGGGGAAAAAAAAATTAACCAAGGTCAAGCCTGTTGTATCTTATGGACAAAAAAAACGTGTCAGTCACGGTGGAAAAGGTAACACCTGTGTCCTCACTCAGGATCCATCTATGAGCCCCTCAAGCTGTCAATCCTCCACCGTGAGGACGAGCCCCTGTGGGAGAAGCTGGACCGCTACTACAATGCTGGTAAGTCCATTTATCTCCGATCAGCATGCGAAGCGACGCCCGCCACGTAAGTGTTGTGCAATGATAGCCAAGTGGGGGCTCCACAAAGCACATAATAGCCTCACAAAAGTAGAGCCCGACTATTGAGTTTATGAATCCATCTAACACCTTCCTATTGTTAAGCTGTGTGTGTGTGTGTGTGTGTGTGTGTGTGTGTGTGTGTGTGTGTGTGTGTGTGTGTGTGCGTGTGTGTGTGTGTGTGTGCGCGCACGTGCGTGTGTTTGAGGAGGGAGAGGGAGTGTAAACGTAAGTGTGTTTCTGGGTGCTACTGCAGGGAAAACACGTCCCAGGCAGGAGCAGCATTGATTAAAGGCAATTTCCCGGCCAAAGCGCTTTTTCCTGTCCTCGTGTTTCGTGAAACACAGTATTGGTTTTACGTGCCCAAGGGACGGGGAGGGTGGTACATGATCACCGTGCAAGTAACTTATATGAGGGCTAGTGTTGTGATTAAATCTCATCCGAATGTCTAAATTGTCTTTGAGCAGGTGGAGGTGTGTTTGGTCGGATGTTCATGTCAGTTGTTTATGAGGTTTTCTTGAAGCGAACATACAGACCGAATAGGGTTTTCGACTTGTATGATTAAATCTTCTAAGAATCCGTTTGGTCATCTGGAGTTTACTTGATTAAAATCTTGATGCCTTTTGGATTAAAGGGTGTGTATTGACTTCAGGATAGACAGAAGAAGGGCAAGTTCTGAATAAAATAAGAGGATAATTTCTTTGATTATGTTGAATTTGACGGGTCTGATATAGATATGAAGCCAATATGGTCCCTTGACATTTGTCACAAGGCCAAATATATTGTCAGAGTGCAATTTGGGCAAAGTGGTTATCCTGCCTCAACGGGCTGCTGCGCAAATGGGAAGTAAATGTGTGGAAATCGACCTGAACTTTAATTTGGACTATCTGGAAGTAACATTGGGGTTGGTTTATTTGCTTTTGCGCTTTCTGCTTTTTGCCTGATAGCTGTTACAATGTGTGCGCTTGGTGAAACGGCGGGCGGTAATTCTCGTAACTTTGAGTTCAACAGGTGATCCGATGCACGGCTAATTTAACTGTTGTGTCGGGTGTCTGTTAAAGAAGTGCCTGTCCAATTCCAGCAGGGGGAACAAAGCCACCGTCGTTATCGCCGGCAGCCAGACTCATCTGCCAATATATTCTACCTGCTCTTCTTGCTCACTGTGTCGGGGGCGTGAGGCAGGAAGACAGTGACTAATCAAACCCGTTGTACTTTTCTCCTTTTTTCCGTGTGCATGTTTTTGTTGTCCTGCTGAAACCTGTCCACAATGCCGCCACTGTGATTGACTCGCTGTGTGTAATTCCACTATAATGAAGGTGTTTTAAAGCTCATTTAGAAGCGCTCCTTCGGGTGTGTGGGGAGGGCCCTGACACCAGTTTTGCCCATGGCATCTACACGGAATTAATTAGACGTATAGTATCTGTCGTAATATATCTTGCATAAAAGTATCAAGAATCCATGGCTGAATAGCAACTGGAGGGTGATCATTTTGGTTTGAAGGAGCCTTTTTGGGTCAATTCTAGGGCAAATGCTCACTCGGGCATTCACGCAAGTGAGTCCCGAGACAGGTGATAATAATGTATTGCTTTTTTTTTTTTTTTTTTTTTTTTGCTTTTGCCTTCTAATTTGGGAGGACCACAGCGGCAGTGTTTAGATTATTATTGTTGTTGTCATTGTCAAATCAAATCAAGTCAAATATATTTATATAGCTCTTAATCACAAAAAAAAAACCCTCTCAAAAGGCTTCACATACTCACAGTTGACCAAAATGAACAACATCCGCTGATCTTAACCCCACAGGAGGGCAAGAAAAAAAATGTTGATGTTTATGAAAGCAAAATACAAATGTTCACTTGACTTGCAGCAACACTCTAAATTGTCCCGAAGTGTGAGTGTGAGCGTGGATGGTTGTTCGTCTCTGTGTGCCCTGCGATTGGCTGGCAACCGGGCCTACTGCCCGAAGGCAGCTGGGATAGGCTTCAGCACCCCACGCGAAAGCGGATCGGAAAATGGATGGATGGATGGATGGATTTTGCGTTCTTTGGCGGAGAGTCTCAGCATGATGGTCGAATTCCATCAGTTAGCCATATTGCAGTGTCACAACAACACACACATTTCAGAAATGGGCAGATAACCAAAGATTCATTTGGTTGGTTCATCTCATACTTGATGGGTAAATGAGCATTCCAACGACATCTGTTATTTGTGGACAAACATTTAAAAGTTAATTTCCCACATTATGTCCCATTTAAAATGTGGTAGCAAGGCATTGAGTCCTGCTCAGCGCGTCCCCTGAGAGCCAAAACACGATAATGTCGTCTTGATGTTCTCCCGAATGATCCGAGAGGCACACATCAACCAAATCATTATGACACTTAAATGAGCAGTGATAAGGACCCCCC